CCCAATACACACAATTGTGGCGGTTACCAGTACCGTTCATTTTGAATTGCGCCTCGTCAGTACCACTTCAATACAGCCTTGCGTTGCTCAAAGAACAACCTTCCAGCCATTGTTGCTGCTGTCTTCTGCTCGCAGCGCGCACGCGGCACGACACTCACGTGACTCATGTGACCTTCGCCATCTGTTGGGAAAACATTACCCTACACTACCGCGCAAGAATTGTAACTACATGTCATTTTGATCCAAAGATATTGACTATCAAAGAGTGAGTATATTTTTTGGACCCCCCTGTACACACACACACACACACACACACAGAGCTGTTGGGTTATACATAGAATAATGAAAGTAGGCTCAACAAGACCACAGAAAGGGCAAAACCACATGACCCAATTTATGAGAGGAGATGCCGAAACGCAGGCGCCCCACACTCTAATTGCTTCTACCGCCGGATGAGCATGTCAACACGTAGCGGTCACAAAGTTTTAAAGAGATGTATTGCAGAATATCTCATTCATCTAAAATTTTAATATTAATTTTTAAGTTTGAATTATTAATTCTAAATTTTAATGCCCAAGTATTTAAGTTTTAACTGAAAATTCAATTTATGCATTTAAAACCAACAAGAAAACAATATGGATACATATCGAAATTAGATGCAATTCAAGGACAAGGACTGGTATCATTGTACGTCTGATGATGGCCCACTATAAAGGCCGAAACATGTAGCGTCAACAGCAAAATAAAAAGAAATTTGTTATAGAATGTCTAATTTGCTTTTCAGAAATATTGTTTTGTAGACTGCCTCCACTATACACATATATCCTATATATATGACATACAACAGGAGCCATGCTATTAAGATTATATTAAAAATTTTTACTTACGTGTTGCGTTCAGAGGAAGGAAGGTGTTTGATTATTTTAAATGCCGTTAAATTTTAACATTTTATTCTAGTTTTATTGAGTAATATAAAACAATTTATGGTCCATTGAAACTCATTGCCTTTGTCTAAGGTGTAGGGTCAAAAACTTTGTGCGTATCTTACCATTCTTTCCTTTAGTCTCACACTTATTTGAAGCATCTATCTGAAAACATAGTCTTCTTCTTACACTATCGAGTTTTCAAAAGTTGTACACTTCTTATTGTTTATAGCAAGATGTTTACAAATAAATTAAGTTAGTAGTATTTGTCTTATGTTTTAGTATTATATTTGATCATTCTTTACGTGTATTGATTTTCAGAGTTATTTATATTGTGAACTTTGAGTGTCCAATGATTTTTCTTGTTAGAGAAATTTCTGGACACATTTTTAAAAATGTTAATTTCTGTCAGGTACAGTTGTCTGCTTTAGATTTTATAATTGAAGAATTTTGTACAATAACGCAATTTTGAAATATAGCAAATGTTATATATTGAAAATGGTTAAGTGAACTTGATTTCTACAAAATGTGACATGTAAAATTGCGCCGTTGAAATATTATATCCCACGTATTGGCCATTTGGTATATTATTTATTACGTATAAATTTGTTACCTCACAGACTTTCCCAGTTAGTGCTGTGAGAAAGCAAAAGAATACTACTAAAACTATGATCATTGATAAGTGGGAATGTAAATACTTCCAGGTGTTAAAATATACTTATCCCCCATTGGGAGAGAGAAAAGACTTTAGCGCCAGAGTCTTGCATTTTTCCAAATAACATGACCGCACAGCGTGGTCACGTGCGGCGACATGTTACGGATTTCTTTCACCAGAGAGAGCGAGGACAGGTGGAAAACTTAGCCCTGAAATCTCAGAAACTTGTTTTAGGAAGCTGATTTTGAAAATGTAATGAAAATCACTTTTACCAACAGATGTAATAATTTTATTTTAAGGATTCTTTTACTTGCATCAGTTTAAAAATATACATTTCACGGCATTTTAAAAAACCTTTTAGTTATGCATTTCTCATTTTTTTGTTTTAAAGAAATAATCTTTTTATCAGTATGAGCACTGTTTACAGGTTATCATATAAAACCTTTCAGAATAAAATTAAATTAAGTATTGACATTTTCGTGTATTTTTCTCACTTTGGTACCCTACATTTATACAGGAAACCCTTGGGTTTTAAACAAAACAGCAATAAATATAAATTTATATGTAACTTTTTCTGACCTCAAAATGACGTGCATTCACATCCTTCCCTGAAGTATTCATACATTCTACAGTCTTTATATTCTTTGCGTGTAGTCTAGTTGTCACATTGCTGAATTTGAATATTACATATTAATTGTATATGGAAAGTAGGCCTAAGACTAACCAACATTCCATAACAGAAATGAAATTGATCGTGCGCTGTACATTCTAAATGTCCTTCACATAACGGAACAATTTAACATTAGAAATTAAAATTTGAAGTAATATATTTCTACAGTACAGATATTATATAGAGATAGTAGTATAACAGTTTTGATATTGAGGAATAAGACAAGTAATTTCCATATATACATATTTGGTTTTGATTCTGCTCGATATTGGTTTATGTACAGAAAACTATATAATAATGCAGTGATTTCCAACTGTTTTTGTGATGTTATTTTCCCCAAACATGACACTTCTACCCTCATACCTATTGTTTCGTATATTCTAACCATTGGACATGGATCATCAATTTAATCAGCAGCTCTGATATTACTGTGGGATCTTATTAATTTCGACTTGGGTAGACACCCGGTCTTTGGGAACCACTGTATTAATGCAATGTCAGGTTGTAGCCATTGTTAAAAAGAAAACAGACCAACTATAACTCTGATTCTGTGAGTACAGCACACCCGAGATGACGCAAATACGTGGAAAGTAAAATTTGATTCTTAATTGGCAGTTGGGGAGATTTATACACAAATGTGAGTTAGCCTTCACAGTGCCATCATTGCTGAAATTTAGAATTACTATTTCCATAAACTAAGGTAATTTATTGATCGTAATTCTGTTCTTGGGCTGTTGCACTTTTTAGACGTGGGCGATGTGGCCGACGTTTCTAAGGTACATGCTGGAGGCAGCATGTTCTTCCAAAAGATCTGCTACATCGCGCGCACCAACCTGGTGTAACAACCCAAGAACAGAATTACCGTCAATAGTTTTTTTATTGTTAGTGGGGTGGGACTAAATCCCTTTTACTGCGGCCACTTCTGGCCTATTATATCAGCCCCAGATGATAGATGAGGGTGATTGTGGAGCAATTGGTGGAATGAAGATTGGCAGGGGAAACCGAAGTACTCGGAGAAAACCTGCCCCAGCGCCACTTTGTCCACCACAAATCCCACTTGACCAGACCCTATATCGAACCCGGGCCGCCGCCGTGGGAAGCCAGCGACTAACCGCTAGAGCTAGGGCGCGGCCTTCCGTCAATAGTAATCACCGTGAAAAACTGGAATCAGTAAGATCATTTATTGCTATTTAACAGATGCTGAAATTTGTCGCCAATCTTTGTAATTCATATACACAATTGAAGGAGGCCATAATATATTCTTTTTGTTATTTTTGCTTAAATATAAATCACTCTAAACAAGCGAATTTCTGATTTCTTCATGTACTTACGTAAAATGTACATTTTAGTTTGAATTTAAGGCCGTCTTACGTCTTAAGAGCTTCATTAATAAATAAGGAGCCTCTTGAGATCAGCTCCACTACCCTATACTCAAATAGTATGGTGCTTATACAAAGGGACCTCCTTAATGCATTAGATGTGTACCTGTTTATACTCTTTGTTGTTTACTCCTTCAGTGGAATTCTACATTCCTCGACCGGGTACCTATATGTAGCCAGTCTTACTGGACTAGAACACAAGCACGTGTACTCCAGCTGGAGTCTTTTGCTAATGAAGAGACATATTAAATATTTTTTGGGGTAATTGTAATAAATGAATCAAAAGAACGCGTAATGGGGTTGTTCCTGATTTTCCGATTGTCTCATGAATAGAATTACTGAGAGGATTTCATTTGCATTGGGTACTGGGAGGGGGGGGTGGAAGTATAATTTAATTAACTTTATTGTATATGACAGTCAAATGGAGGTTAATCATTTTCTCCAAGACTGTACTTCATACGAAAAATTACTGTTTTCATTAAGATCTAAAATTCATATTTGTAAAATTTTTCGATGTTGTTCATATTTAACCAAGTGCAGGAGAAAATAATTTCTGACTGTGCAGTATATGTTTAATGCAAGATTATATTTTCTTGTGCAATAAACAGGCATGGAGGCCCATGAGACGTAAAAAAGAAAATAACATATGGGGAATATCTGTACTCTGTAGGAGTACATCTGTATGCTCTGTAGGCGTCAGTCACTCCTTTGGTTGTTTTATTTCCTCGTTGAACTGGTCATTCACGTTAGCTTGTTCCTGACATTGTACTCAAGTTATACTGTACATTCCCGCCTTTTGTGTGTGTGTTTTTTAATTTCAATAGAAGAGGTTTTCTGGCAATATTATGACGTCATGAAACAAGAACTTTGTGACCACCGTACCTGATCAGTATATTTAAGGGAAAGATCTGACATTTCATAATTATTAGAGCAATAAACACCTTGTTATCAACATATGAATTGTTATACTATGCAAAGTCACCATTATATATGTAATCAATTCTTCTTAGTTTCGATGTAATAATTCTCAGTTACCAAAATGAATTTCTGGAATAGCCACGATCACTTCTGCCTTTTTTCATTAATTCGCGATACACGTATTTTGACAACAACGGTCAATCAGAACAACTTTATTCTGTTTTTTGAAATATAGGACCACAGTTGTATTTACAAGAATTTATGACTTAAGCACCATCTTGTAATATACATTATGCAATAAAATATTTTTTTTTTTCAGACAAGATTTAAACATGAATGATAATATTTTGTTATCAACGTACCTGCATTGATTACAGTAGCATCATTAAACCTGTATAAGTAAACGTGTATACTGTTAAATTTATTTCCAAAAATACTCCCCAACTTCCCGAAATAGAATCGTACTGCACATACTCTTCACCATCTGAAGACTGCCACAGAAGTGCTGTTCTGTGTGATTAAACCTATGCAATATTCGTAATATATAGGGAATTCAAACTTTTAAGAATAATTTTATGACTAACTCGTAATTAATTTCGAAATATACTTTGCAAAATATTCTGACCCAAAGTAATGAAGCCAGTAAAGCGTCTATATTTTAAAATATATAAATATTTGATGAATTATGGATAAGGATTCAATATCAATCTTCTTGAATTTGTTAAGTGTGCTAAATCCTTAGAAAGATTTGCCAGGACTTCTGCGTCGTAAGAAATTTCTCTCGGTTTACTACGTGACCAGTGTCAGAATCGTAAGTTAAGTTACGATTAGAATGAAAACAGGTAGCAGTAATAGAGCACACAGGAAGTTCCTTGGACGTGACTGGAGGATATCCCAGACTTCGCTCTGGCTAAGGTTACACATTTTGCATCCTCTCTTCAGTCATAACTCATCTAATTCCTATCGTTTTCCTCAGCGGTATAGATATTTATGTATATATTAATTGAATACGCATTAATAGTTCTCACGAATCTGATTACAATTCCAGCAGTTACACAGACCAGCGCAAGGAGACGCCGAAACACGTCTATGCCCTGAGTTCGATTCAGACTCGTGATCACAATGTTTTACCAAAGTCACATGATTTCGATTTCAGGTTACCGTAGAAGCAGCCGTGGCTATTATTCCACTGTCTCATCTGTGCTTAAAATTACTAAGATGAATTTATATAATTACAGATCCGACACTATGATTCGAGGCACTCACCGTGAGACAACAGAATTCTGTTTCTCTCATTTGAGATAAACCATGGTTAATCAGTTCATGTACTTACTGACGTGATTGTACTTAGCTGAATCATCCCAGTCCTTGTTATATTTCTGAAGAAAAGATTACATACGTATTTATTGGGACATCGCCCGTGAATCTGCAATGTGCAATAGGAATCCTCGGCCAGTTTTAAACACTGTGTATTAATAATGATTTTAGCACATAACATTAACTTGTACTGATCATTCTATGAGCTGGATGATTCGTGCATAGGCAAGACGTAAAATTATCCTATATGAATTAACATGTCATATCTGAGCAGGTTCAGTTACATCCAACAGTTGTTGTAGCAGAGCTGTACGTTTCTTCCTTAAACACCATTACTATTTAAGGTCATTTTCTTTTCGTGAAATTACTATTAATTCACATGGAGGCATGAATTCATATGTTCATTTTATCATAAATAGAATTCAGTGAACACGCTCATCTGTTCGCCTTCGAGGAATGAATATTCATGAACACCAAACTGTGCAATCACTGTGGGAACAGTTTTTATATTGCGAGGAATCATGCCAATACAGAATGTCCCTGACTATCTCCCTTATTCCAGTACTCTGTACTCTCTGCTGAGGAGTCGCCATTTACTTTCCGGCGACTGCAACGCCTCACAGAAGACAGAGCTGGACTTCAAAGTCATGGAATGGATTCTTTGAATTTATCTTCCCAGTGACACAAATTGTATTCATCCAGCTGGTATACTTTTCCCATAGTGATAGAATAACTGATGTTTGGCCGTCTAGTTGTTCATCCCTGATGTCAGATCAGTAAGTCTGCACATTATCAAATATATATCAAAAGACTTACTGCTGTGATGATCTTGGTTAATATGTGATTTATTACTAAGTATAAAGGTGTCATTCGATATTTCCCTGTCAGGAAATTGGTAATATTGCAACAAACCTTCCAAAACGAACGTCGGGGGTACACAGATATAAGGACCGGAATATCATGGCGCTGTTCTTCGTATAAAGGCGGCTGAAGTACTACGCTAACCATTGATTTTCTCTGAATATCTTCAATTGTGTTCAGATTGGTATTGGAGGTCGTCGTCCCTGCTTATCGACGCTGCGTAGAGTTACACCCTCCCATTAATATTAGTGTCAACTTCTGAAGCTTCAACTGCCACAGAGTAACTATCCCTATTAACTTAACATTTTTCGGCTTACAAGACATAACTAGAGACAGGAGCGGGGAGTCATTAAGTGACAGACATTAACCTGGATTTCCGGCACATCTCAAGTGGGTGGCCTCGTAGCAGCGTAACTTTAATATTCCACCTGTATTTGGTAGAAGAATTGAAACCGGAGGAACTTTTCGTTGATGCCTTTTACATGTTCTCATGGTGTAGTGACAAATGTTCATTTAGTAGCTCAGAGTGCTGTGCAGAACAGTATTAAATGTTAACATCTTAGGTTAAGAGACCGTTATCCTCTGAGTGGGATTCATTCCCTCATTTGTGCGATCTTCCGCGCCTTCTCTTCCTTTAAGGAAACCATTTGCTGATGTTCCCACAATCTCTATGTATGCTGGATGTCTCGTTATTGTTGGACGTCTTTACGTCTCATTTCTTAGGAGATACGTCACTTGCTACTTAACAACCAATTCATGATTCAGTTTTCTGTTTTCACCCATTATTCAATGCTACTGATGTCACAGACTTTTTCTAATTGCTTCTTTTTCCTGAAGGCAAAGTATCACTTGCTATCCTAGCAATTCATTTCTTCTTTTGGTGTGCATTATTCTGTTGATCTACTCTGTTCATGCACCATTGCTCTCTGTCTTAGCTGCTCCCTTCTTTATGAAGTTATAATAACTGCCCATTCTTGACTCATCTCCCCTTGGCATCCCCTTAGTTTAGACAAGATATCTCTTGCTATCATAACAACCCATTCCTTTATCGTTTGTTCACCGATTATTAGAGGCTATGGATATTTCATTATTGTCTGATTTTTAGCTTCTCCTTCGTTTAGGACATGTCTCTTGCTGTCTTAACCACCCATTCGTGATCATTTGTCGAGTGCTCATCTACTAGTCTCTTCTTCAGATATTTTATTAGTCTGATAAACTTGGCTTCTTCTTCGTTTAGGAAATGTATCTCCTGTTATTTTAACAACGAATGCTTGAGACATGATAATTCCACGAATTATTCGCTTGTTGACTCATTCTGAGAGGGCCGTATACTCCACTGTTGCCTGACCGTTCCACACGCGGTCAAGCTTCATGTTCTTTGCTGTGGTTGGAAGGCAAACATTTCGATGCCTATAAGGAAATAACACAGCACCGATTGAAAGACATTCAATAGACCAACAAGAAGAGCAGACAGAGGAAGTCCTATTGCACACTGGTGAATGCCAAATTCATTACTTAAATGAAACTAAACATCTTAATATGTATATATATAAAACATGAGCGATACAATTTATATAACAAACATTATTAAGTCTGTCATTTCACTTCCCGCATAAGAGCGTGTTGTGTTTTCTGACCGACCAAGTTTCTTTTTCTGTCTAGAATATCTAGAATCTTTTTAAGGTAAACCTACAATCATGCAACTATAACCCCAAAAGATGGGCCTATTTTGTTTCTTAAACACAAATATAAAAAAATTTCTTCATAAACGATATTTTTAACGTTCAATCATTTTTCCTTTTACAAATAACCAGTGTTACCTTTGTGAACAGAATATTACGAAGTGATTGTTCAACCAATTCATGCACACCTCCCATTGTCTATGCTCATGGGTTCACAACGTATCGCTACGGCTCGCATAGACGCACTTCTATAACAATATTAATTGAGCATGTTTTAATTGTATTATATGCATTGAAATCTATACTAATTCTTCTCGAATATGCTTTCAAAATAGCCGCTTCCCAACGAAAAATATATATATAAAAATGTTGTTTAAACTCTTAAACTCAGAGCTCTTGTATGTTGATGCACGTTCACCTTCAAGTACAATCGATCTCATTATCCTCCATTTAAAATGTTTAATTTCTGTTGGACTTAAATACTCTATCAACATCTTATAAATTTATCATTTTATCCACCAGATTATTAAACATATCATTCTTCAAATCTCACTCTTATTATGAACATGAAAATTGTAACTACATATCAAGACAGTCAGTTCCCTGATTCATATCTACAACTGTGCAGCAAACGCTGAATTTTATTCGTAATCGAAACTTTTGCTCATTTTTCGTTGCGAACCGGCTGATAAAGATACACAGTGCGAAAATTACTGTCACTTATGCGTTACGGCACTGCCTCTTTAAAATTAAAAAATGTTATAATGACAGTTTATAGTACTTTTATATAAAAGTACATAAATGGAGTTCTCAATTCCTTTTGTACGTAATTTCACATTCCTGCAGTTCTGAGCCTACGCACGAGTTGATCATCTTCCTTTAATTTCGTTTGCCTTTGCTCGTAATCATGAAAAATGAAAATAATAACTGAATAATAATAATAACAACAACAATGCTGATAAAATAATAAATAAACAACGCTGATATATCACAGAAAAGTTTGTGAAATAACTCTTTCGGCAGACACACGTTTATATATAATAACTTTGTAACAACAATCTATCTCTACACTGAAAGTTAGCTAATGAACCCCTTTCCCGTTTTTATAAATAACCGGCCATGCGTACATGGTTATTCTCAGCATTACATTTTGGCCCCAGGTATAAATAAGTTAATATACTACTTTTCTCCATTTGGGTTAACCTCACTGTTATCTCGTCTTAAAAATAATAAAAACGTGTTGATATGAAGATTTTTATTTGAATCTTAAATGTGCTAATGAAATTTAGCACCCTAGTTTTATATAACCGGAGGCGAGAATATGGCGCCTATCTTGTTGCAAATGGCGCCGTACGTGGATTAAAGTAAGCAAATGGTTGTCATCTTTGAAACGCAAGGACATATAGACACTGCACATTCAGTTCTCCATGCTGGAAGAAAACCCGGTTCAAATCCGCTGACCTCTTTAAGAACATGCCGGTATCGTCCTTAGTGAAACATTGTAATGAAAATACACCAAGCCTGGAAATATTTGGATGGACTAGCGACGTTACTGTACTATAATGTGAGGCGCAGAAAGCAGTACAGCTACTGTCGCGATAATGGTAAACATGGTGAAGATAATGAGGCAGAACCTGTCCACCACCATCGCAGCAAATTTCCAGTCACTAATTAGTTCTGCCTCATCGTCCGCTTTCCTCATCCTGCCCGTGATGAACTGAAGTTCCCTCAGTATAGCCTGCATCTCCCGTTGGGCTACAGAGCAAGATGTACCCCCAGTATCGTCCAAAATTGCCGCTGTTCCGCGGCTGCCACTCCGTAGGAAACCGGAAGAAGCCGAAGTGCTGTTGGTTCCTGTGCAGTGCCGGAAATCGTCGTCAATGTCCAATACGTTAGCAAGGAGGCTCTTAGACGACCGCTCTTTTAGCTCCATTTCCTTCATGCGGTTGCTCATGAGGATCGTTTTCCGAGTTATCTTCTTACCGGGACGACTCATGCCAAGTATCCATGGTAACCACTGCAAGAACACGCTTTTGATCTGTAAAGGAAATAATGTCTTGATTTGGAAATCGTAGTTTTGATGACCATTTAGGCGTAAAGCACAATGACAACTACATGGACCCTCTGTTGTAATATTAAATGACTGAAACTTGCCCACAACTTGTATTTATGTTTCTTATGATTATCATAATAATCAGTGATTATTTTTTCAAACAGCATTAACAGATGTAGGATTTGAAGTTCTCACTATTGTAGCGATGAAGAGTTCTATCATTTGGGATATAACGCCGTGTAGTCCGTTTAAAACCAACCAAACTTTCGGAGAGCCGAAAAATAAGCGAAACAAGAAACCGAAACGTCTATTGACTTTCAACGGATCCCAGAGGATACAACTGTTCATAGTTTTGAGGACCTCGAGATATAATGAGACATGAGATATAATATACCAGTATCTTACCATCAGGCCCCCTACGAACGAAGAGATATTTCTGAATACGTGCCAAGCTTTGTACAATAATTCCCGAGACGTGATAAAATTATCGGAGTGGCAAAACAAGATACTTGAGTCAGACGTTTGGAGGGACGTGCGGTGTGGGAACTGACGTCGGTCGGAATCTCAGGGACAAACCAGACGGAGCTAGTGAGGTCGGAGATCCTTAACTTCCAGATAAAGGCTTATGGCTTGCAGATATATCTTTCATCTGTCCTTCTGTAGAGGTAAGCGAGGGTTATCCATGCTTCAATGCAGCGGAATCTCTGCTGTTGCCAAAAACAAATATGCTTTCTCGATGGGGTAAATATTTATTGAAATGATGACTTAGTAATGCACAGGGGTGTTTCGGCCGAGGGTATATCTGTGGAAACTGCGCCCTGAGGTGGGAATTCTTTATTTCGTAGGTTGCTTTCATTTGGTTGCATCCAGGGAGCAGTTTGAAGAATCCGCCTAGAATGTATTCGGGAGGTTTCAGATTCGAAGCCCGGTCAGATATCGCTGTCCTCAGTGAGGTTTTTGGTGGTTTCCTTAGCACCTTCAAGCAAATGCTGAGATAATATCCTGATTAGGCCACAACCACTTCTTTCCAGATCCTCTTAAACCTACCAGTCTACGCTGTATAATCTGAGAACCTGGAAGCTTCGTAAAATGAACCGCGAAAGAAGTTGCATTCGAGAGCGTTCGGAATATTGGTCGGTTGCGCAGGAATACAAGCAAAGTTTACAAAATGTACAATAGAAAGAACATAATGTATAGTAGAAATATCGGAATAATATCTATTAGTGAAATTTATGAAATATCTGTCAGTGTATTTTGTATCCGAGGGCCTGTTTGCTTGTCACGGTGATATAATTTGCAGAGGAAGTCTGGATGGAGCAATTGTATGTCCTGCTCGCAGGCTGTTGATGTGATACGTTGATAGTCCTTCACAAACGTCACTTCTACAATATGTTTCGGCCTTATGCGGTTATCATCAGGTAGATACTGTTACGTAATTGCTTCACCGTACTACATTTCAGTTCACTGTTCTAAAAGAAGCGGTTGTGTTGTGTTTCAAGTTTATATTCTCATTGTCGTGTTATTGTGTGGTTTCCATGAAAGGATGTTCGAATAACCACCCACTGCACAGAATACAGAGTATAAGGTAGCACCATGTTACAGAAGTGATATTTATAAAAGACTGATAACGTAACACACAAACAGCCTTCGATCATGTCAAGTGCTCCTTCAGGACTGCTCACGCCGATTACTGCAATAGGATTCTGAAAAAATATATTTCCATTAGTTTCTTGAGGTGGAGTGAGACTGAGCCCACTTGGTACTGCCGCCACTACTGGCTTATAGTACCAACCCCGGATGATAGATATTGAATGTGGAGCAGTCGGTGGAATGAGAATTGGGAGGGGAAACCGAAGTACTCGGAGAAAACCTACCCCAGTGCCACTTTGTCCGCCACATATCCCACATGACCTGACCTGGGCTCGAACCTGGGCGACCGCTGTGGGAAGTCGGCGGCTGATCTGAGCTATGGCACGGCCTAAATATGATGTTCCTTGTCATAGTTCAGCGGTTCTGAACCGTGGGTGCGTGAACCTAATGAGGGGGTACGGTGAAATACTTTCACGCAAATCCAGAATATTTATACGCACTGAAAACAAATCCTTCGAAATTAGATGAGGATGTGGTACATAAATTTGTATGTATATATAGACAACTTCAACAATGATATTTGTAACAGTGTTTTGGGCGAAAAAATAGACAATGTCGTTGCATTTATTCATGTTCACTGAATGGCAGCTGTTATCAGGCCATCCGCGAAAGCACGGGTTGCTTCAGCACAAGCCGCTGTGATAGCGCAAGTGTAGAATTTTTCAGTATGACTTCCATACTGCTTACTGCCGTTCAGTTCAGAACAATTTGTCTTCTCTTCTGCTGTCCACAAAAGTGAAGATTGAAATATAAACAACTATAATTTTGCATGTAGTTTTGTATGAATATGAAACTTTGTCTCTAATATTAAGGAAGGAACATAGACTGGGGGTGGTGAGGAGAATATTTGGACCCAAGAATGATGAAATAACGGGAGAAGTCTATATAATGGGGTGCTTCATAAATTTTACTCTTGGCCANGATTAGAATGATCAGGTCAAGGAGGATGAGATGGGTAGGCCATGTAGCACGTATAGGGAGCAGAGGAATGCATATAGGATATTGGTGGGAAAGCCAGAAGTAAAGAGACCACTAAAAAGACCTAGATGTAGGTGGGAGGATAATGTTAAGATGGATCTTAGAGAAACAGGAAATGGCGGTATANAGAAATTGGATGGGGTGGTTCGGACTGGATTTTTCTTGCTTAGGACAGAGACCTGTTTCGGGTTCTTTAGAATATTTGGGAATTCTTGAGTAGCTGAGCGATGGGTGGCATCTGAAGGAGGACTGGGCTCCATAGAGTGAGTGAATTACTCTTACTTCGATTTACATACCGTCGTACAACGTACTGTCATGTATCGTGCGTTTTGTGTTTACAGGTTTCTTTCTATAGGACTTAGGCCCCACATGAGCACCAACAAAGAGCTGCTTGTTCATTTCATGTTGCTATGTTGACACTATTACACGCTATCATTATTTCTGGAATAAGCAAAACTTGCATATTGGAGTCTTTATTAAAAACTGCAGTAAAAGTGGTATGTCGTCAACAGTCTTAAAGATATTGTCACATATGAGCCGTTTCTATAACAGTAGAGGAATGTCATCATTGCTAGGCAACGACTATTTTGTAGGCCGAAGAAAAAGTCAGGTCTTTTTAAAAGAAGTTAGGTGTCTAGGGAAGAAGAGTGAAATCCCAGAAGTTTAAGAATTTTTTAGTGAAATAACTTAGATTTAGTACTTTGAGTGGAACTGAGAGGTCCTAAGAGTCTTGTTACGTACGAGTAGTTATAAAAAGTGGAAATTACCGTCGGATAAATTATTTCTACTGGATCGATTGCTGATATTTGGATAAGAGGCTCCCGCCCGTTTCTCTTCAGCAGATCGGCGATACCGACCTGGCAAAATACGAGAGTCTTGATTTGCGCAGTAATCAGGAACTTCAGTTTGATTGTGAATCAGCGAAGCTAGATCGATTCTGGAGCAGACTTGGTGAGGAATATCCATTTGTTACCACGCAAGTTCATTGAGATAGTCCCATATGCCACAACGTGCCTCCGAGAGCGCTAAGGGAGGAGCAAACTGAAAGGTGAACATGATGCTCATGAGGATGTCTCAGAAATGTCGCCCATAACTGAAGTAGTGGTTTCATTGTCCTCCCATGAATGATTAAGCTTGTTTCTACATCTCCCACGTGTTGTCCTCCTCTTCAGATATCCATACTAAGCATTTGTATGCGTTTTATGATGCAAGAGGCTACGATAATGCCAATATTTTTCTTCCGCTAGTAAGTCTTTGTGTTATTGACAGAAACATTCGTGGGCCTGTGTCTTTGTAACATTTACACTAAAGAGGATACGTATCCCGACCGCCTCTGTGGGCTAGTGGTCAGAGTTCCTGGCTACAGATCCAGAGATCCGGGTTCGATTCCTGGCGCTACCACATTTTCTTCGAAGTGGGTCTGGAACGGGGTCCACTAGCCTCGTGAGGATAATTGAGGAGTATATTTCAAAGAAATAGCGTCTCTGGTCTAGAAAACCAAATTAACGGCCGTGGGGCTTCATTGCGCTCCCCACGGACACCCTCTATCCGCTAAATTTGGCACTAACTTTGCCGACAAGTGGCGGTCGCTCAGTTGGTATATTTCGCTTGCGGATTAAAGACACGGAGTTTGTTTAAGGATAAGCTGCACAAGAATGCTGTTAGTAGTCATATGTGTTTTCCTGTTTATGGCCTTAGAGTTTACCATCGCTCTCCGAGCTCTGCCAAGAAGTGAAAATACAATTTTTCTGCAGCTGTAAAAGTTTGTTTTCTTATATCATATTTTCAATGGTTGTGAGACAGCGTAAGGACTCGGGAAGATATATCCTTATGAGTCGTTATTAGTATAATGAAATAAGCAACTTTATAATTATACCGTTATTTAATTATGTAATTAAACGCTCTGATATGAAGAAATGGGGAAGTGAAGGTATTTCTCCACCACTGCCCAGTCTGTATAGTGAATAGGCTACGGACTGGATGACCGGAGTTGGATTCCTGGCAGGGGAAAATGATTTCTATCTTCTTCATAACGTCCAGGTTGGCTCTGAGACTCCTGTACAGTGGGCACCAGGGTGGAGCGGCAAGGGCGTGAAGTTGACCACTCACCCCCAAATAGTGTATAGGTCGAGAATGGTTGGAGCTTCTTTCTAATTAAATATTATATTCTCTGACTTCAGCACAATTTCTGCAACTGGTGATATTATTTTCCATACGTATAAAGTAACGCAATTTGAAATTTTGAAACATTATATGCTTTCACATACCTATTGAGTGAAACGAAAACATTGTTCAAGTATACAGAATTTACAACATACAAGCAAGATTTTTAGAAATATATTGTGACATATGGGCCGTTTCAATAATGGTGATAGATACACACTGCTTAAAACTGGAATAATCGCAGAACCGAATCTGGTAATTGCTAGGTAACGACTCCGTAAACACGTTCCAACAAGCTACAGTAGGGAGTTCATTGCTATAACAATACAAGCCAAGACTGGTTGCTAGGCAGTTGCGTTGTAACACGTCTGTACAAGAATAGAAGGGGTTTTCTATATGGTCCGTGCCGTGGCTATGTAACGAGAGCTGTGAGCTCAAGGAATAAGGAAAAATAATAGATCTCTCGTGTGGAGACGGGGTCGAATACCTCCACCGTGGCCCTGCGAGTTGTAGGAGACGACGAATAAGGAAGTCTCAAATCTGAGAGAGTAAAATATGGTCGCGAGTCACAATGGGCTCGGACTCGAGCAAGACTGCGCTGGCAAGGACCAGCACCACATACAAAAGATAGACTCGTCCTCTTGTCAGAGAGGGCGCTCCATAGAAACAAGACCGTAACTGTCAAACAGTAATAAATATCTGGGTACATCATGCAAAGTGGAAAGATTTGTTTTAAAGATCTGAGATGCTCACTGCGGCGACTGACGAATATTGTCCTCTGGATATGATGACGTGTAGTCTAATAGATATTTAATCTGCTTGCCTAATGCTTCGGCTCCCTCTTCGATCTCGAAGCAATTCTTTTTCCTCAGACGTCAGTCAACTTCTAGCAAACTACACAGCGTCACATTCTTTTTGTTTCCTCTGGCGCTACAGCCCCAATTTGGGACTTGGCCTTCCTCCATGAATCTCTCCGTTTCACTTGGGTTTACTAGATTTTAGACATTTGGTAGGACTCCTTAGGCGAGTGATTAGCTCATCGCAAGGCCTCTACCTGTACACAAACACAGAACATCCATGCCCTGATTGGGATTCGAACCCACGATCTCGGTTTCCGAGCGACTGAAGACAGTGTGTGTCTTAGACCGCTCGGCTAGCGTTACATTCCAGAAGATTCCATATTCCGTATTCCATATTGAGGGCTGGGTTTCCCCATGCACTTAGACCGGTTACTGGTCCATTGTGCGTCCCCCTTTAATTTCTACTGTCTCCATACCCTACCGGTACTGGTGCTTACTATCAGCCCCTTTCTGCCAGCGAGGTTCCAACCTCTTACTGGCAGTGGTATGTAATAGTCCCTTTCTGTCAGCTAGGTCGTCCCTCCTCTGGCAGGGGTTCCTAGTCCCTTTCTGCCAGCAAGGTTTCTACCCTCTACTTGGCAGTGGTATCTAATGCTTTAGTCCCTTTCTGTCAGAGAGGTCCCCCCTCCTCTGGCAGTGGTACCTGATACTTCCCCCATCTACCGGAGGAATTGGAAACTAGTTGGGCGGGAAACTTGGCCTAATTTTGCTCAGAGGTCTCCTAGAGACATGAGTTTCTTTTACGTGCCGTAAATCTACGACACGGGACCCACGGCTTAAAGTCCCTCCCGGAGGACTTGTTCCCTGTACGGAGGCCTCTTACATTCCAGAAGATAGTATTTGTCAGATTAATTTCTGTCTGCAATAAATGAAGATCAGAAGGTTGCACATCCACAAAGAGTATGTCTGGGAGCTTGTTTGAAGCACTTACCCACTGAGGCATCTCGTGAATGTCTGCAGTCCGATGGTGATAGTTGAGCACCACGACGGTGAGAACGACGGAGGACGCCACCATGAACATGATGCAGTTGAAATATGTTCCTGCAATTCAGCAGCAAGGCCTCTACTAAGCTACCAAACTAATGCACGTCCATTGTTTATATGAAAACTTGCAATACACTGAATCTATATTTGTTTCGTGTTACGTATAGATATTTACAGCACATAAAGTATAGATATGTATCTATATATAAGTACAAGCAAACATCGAAAGTAAACTGTCACAAATATCTAGGACTACAAACCGTCTTAGCCTCCTCAAGATATTTAGTTCTGAATTTGCGCGGTTGTCTAGATATTGATATTCAGTACAGTTTATGTGGGGCAAATCATTAAATAAGGAGATATGTATTGTCTTTTAAATGTCTTTCGTGAGTTATGAATATATAATTTTAATTTTTCTATGAAATTAATGTGTTCGAACTACTTTCATATTGCCTTGCTTTTAACAGTTCACAGAATATGAACCCAATTTATACAAAAACATTTAATTTAAATGTTAACAAGATTTTAGACTCTTCTTTATGTCAGTTTACTAATAGATGAGTGAAACCATGCTTTATTATAATTCGTCCCTTTAATGAGCTAGTTCGGGAGGAAAGCGTAAATAATCAGGCATACAGAAGACTGATAACTGACTATGCTACAGCCCAACATAAACATGATTCCAACAAAATATGCTTACAGTAGATGCAGTACTCATTCCAATTGGGGAACAAAAAATTTGCAAGGAGAAGTAAACTTAGCTGTGTTGTTTTAAATATTTTGCAAATATCACAAAATAACTTTGCGCAGTGTGATTTGTTGGATTAATTGTCTTTATACTTTGTTTTTAGTTTACCTTCAAGTTCTTACCAAACTCCAAAGCCATTCCGGGATTTATTGAGGTGGATGTTTATTAGGTCTGCCGTTAGGTGGGGTGTGCCTCTCCTTGCATGAACTTCGCACTAAATGCACGACAAAATACATTTTAGGAACAAAGTATTTTGTTCTTCCTCTTTTAAGGAAAGTGTTTTATGTGTTTAGTGGTGCTTGATAAAATAATTTGTATTATTGAATTAATTTCGTATTAGTGAGTAAAATGGAGTACTTTAATGCTTAAAGTTATAGAGGAGGAAACGTGTGTACAATGACAAGAAGAAACAAACACATCAGTAGTAATGAAAAATTGAACACAAAACGTACGGAAAGACGCCTTCTGTTTAAATACATGGGACAGAGTCAGTTGATACTTGGAGGTGGAGGGTGGTTACGAAAACTTACGATCTGATTTAGAGGTTCCCTAATCTGAAACTATTTACAGTATTAATATACACAGATGCTTGGTAGTATAGACCGACGAGGGAATTCAGAAAGCAACCTGAAAGTAGACGCATTGTCGAGCACGCCTTCCGTCCTGCAAAAAGGACATTCAGATTCATGTAGAAAGAAAGAATACTTTGAGAGGCAGTCAAATTTCCATCTCAAAAGCATTCTTAAAGTATACGAGAACACCACAAATGGGGTAAAGTAACACAAATGAAGATGTGTATATAAGATGAGGTTTATGGGAAGTTTACATTGGAAAATTAAGCTATTTTTATATCAAATGAAAGGTGCGTTAATCTGGAGGCTACTCCTTGCAGTACTGTGTGGTTCGACAAAGAAGATTTTCTGTAATTTAAATTACATCTCCGTGTATGAATGTGATATGTAAGACTGCGAGCAAGATACTCTGTTATCAACCTCCAAACAAACGTACCCGTTTATTGGTGCACAATTTTAACCTTACGTCATTCTGTCATGATTTTCTTTTGTGCAGAAGTAACGCAAGGAGTTTAATGTGTGGTTGAATGGCAACATAACATAATCCATACAAATCCCACAAACTACAGATCTTCTGTTAAAACTTGAAGGTCAAGACGTGTAAATTGCATAATATTTTTCTGTGGTTTCACTGAAAGCAAAGGACGTTAGATGTAGACTTGTTACGCAGGCTGCCAGGTCAGGGAGTCCTTATGTAAGATTTGAGGCTTTCACGGCGGTGACTATGAAGAAAGCAGTCTTTTGGGATTTGGCACCGTGTATATGTGGTGTTAACCGACGTTTCGGAGGAACGTATCGCCTCCATCTTCAGGGTAGAAGAAAAAATATAAGAAATCTGCGAGCGAAGAGACCGTGAGAACCGGTTCTCACGGTCTCTTCGCTCGCAGATTTCTTATATTTTTTCTTCTACCCTGAAGATGGAGGCGATACGTTCCTCCGAAACGTCGGTTAACGCCACATATACACGGTGCCAAATCCCAAAAGACTGCTTTCTTCAGGGAGTCCTTGTTGCCAGATGCGGTTAGTGAAAACTCAAGTCTTTATCTTGCAAAGATAAACAGAGAGTTCTAATGCTATGAAATGATACATACAGACTTAGATATATTTGAGTTAAGTTTCCAATGCAAACCCGTCTTGTGCATTTGCGGACTGCTGTTCTCCTTGTTTGAAACCAAATATTATTTTGGATTATTATTATTGTTGACAATCAATCATTCAGTTAGTTGAATAATTCAGGTTAGTGTTTAGAAGGTGAAGGTTTTAGGGAAAGAAGTGCAAATCAATGATGCGGACTGGCTTGGGGAATTAAGCAAGTTGGTGAAGGGTATTAAACTCGGTACACAGCATGCTGGTAGAACAGAAAGCAGATGCTCAAATCAAATAAAACTGTACGATGCTGTAGTTGCGTATATTATAAATCAGTGCTAATTTTATCACAGGCGAAATTTGAAGAAAAGTATGTAAATACAGTCTAAAAACAATTTGAAACCCATGGACGTTAACTGTGTGGTCAAACAGAAATAATGCTAGGAATTTTGATCGCTTGTTTTTGACTGTAGATCAGTAACATTTAGCTGAAGCGAGGAAGGTTTAATTTTGAAGCCCCGTGTGCCCGGTACAATCTTATTTTAACGCTTTCAGGTCACAAGAGAAGCTATATTAATCGAAAATTTGAAGCGATGAGACAAAATATCTGGGCGTGTTACAAGGGACTTGTCCGTATTTTAGAGGCGCCGTGAAATGTTGCTAAAATGTACCATGACCAATTTATATAAAATAATTAGACTATGTTGTTTTAACATATCATGAATATTTATTATGCAGAGGATTTGTTTTCCCGTCGAAACAACTGAATTCAACAACAAGGCAGTTGATGCGTTGTTTTGATATGGAAGTAACGAGCGGTGAGATTGACATGCAGCAGCAGTAGCAGCAGCAAGATGGAACGCGGTCTAACCTATCAGGGGTACAGCATCAGAAGTCTGGGGCAACACTTGGGCCACCAAGAGGGAGAATACTGTTAGAGACAGCAGGATAGTAACACCTGGAACAAACAGAATCACACTCAACGCTTTCAAAACAACCAAAGAAGGGCACAAAAACAAAAACATAGCACACAGATAACGACTTACTTTATTTTAAAGGAAAAAAATTATAACAAACATTAACTAGCTGTGTAAAGGCCATCAAATTGGAAAATGTGTATATGCTATCCCCCTCCAACAATCCAAGTATCAGAAAGCAAACCACTGTCAGTCAGTCACACACCAAACTTCATCACTACCTAACAGAGGGATGGCGTCAGAGACTTGGGGGAGGGTCTCGGCCACGAGGTTCAGGAAGACAGTCAACGAGAGCAAGATGGTCACTCCTGAAACAGAATAACCAGTTAGTTGAGTTACTCGCTCGCTCGCTCGTTACTTTTGCTTTTGCTTTTTTATCTTTTTGTTTGTTGCGGTTGTGGTGGTGAAGGTTGTGGTGGCAAGACAAGTCACATAAATTTGGCACTAAATTCGCTAAAAAGAAGGGAGACAGTAAGTCCTATCTGATGGTAGCAGAGCGGACCTGGTTCCTTCTTCATCCTGAAGCAATGCCGCTGCACTAGGCTTATCGCAACAGAAGTAAGCATACGACAAAGTGCGCGCAGGAAGGTAATGTTCACACGATGAAAATTTCGTTACATTGCTTTAATATAAACAAAGACACATCTTGTTACTAGAAAGAACCACGTCATCGCCCTGGGAGGTACACACTATCCCAGTTACATGCCGTGTGCCATGACAGAACCACTAGAACTAAGCCACTTTAATATCATCACATGAAATTATTACCAAGTACATTACAACACACACGCATCCAAGCGCTACATTCACACGGATAACTGTGCACAAAAGACTAGGGACACAGAAAGAAAAACACGTGGATAATAATGAGAGGAGTAATTTCGGGAAGGTTCAACACCGACCAACACAGAAAACCAGCCCTTGTTACAACGTTACAACTGTCGGCTTACATGAGAAACAGCAGGAAGAGTGGTTAATTGGCTACGGCACAAGTAGCAGTGTGTGAACTGATGCTGGGTACAAGTTGCTTCATTCATTACAACACAATTATGTCAAATTATGACCTTGTCCGTTGCTTAAGGCGATGTTCCGGAACCTGACTTTACTGAGTGACTATCTCTGTGACACATTCTTTTGTTGAATTAATTCTACAGATTAATGGAAGTCTTCAGGATCGAATCCGGGACCTTTTAATTAAGGGTTCTAGATTAATTCACGACCATCTTACATTCAAAACGTCCTGTGTGTGATTTCATGTGTTACCATTATCTCGCAAAATTTTTTTAGCAGTAGAATAATCTGACATTACTTTATACAGACAATCTCCAGACAGCTGGAATGAATTAAACTACTGGAATGTTCAGTGTATCGGATATACCTCGGACAATGGACGATGTATAACATAATTGTGGTGTTACATGAAGTGTACCACGTAGACAAGCAACGTCTGGTGTCCTGATCATCTCTCTAATTGCTAACATGTCCTCGTGTAATTGCTACTTTCGCAAAGCAAGAGGAAGCGACGAAACGTTAAGTTTTCCGGTGTAAAGTGGGGTGCTTTGAAATGAGAACCTTGATTGTGTTTATATATAAATCGATGTTTCCATTATCGTTTCATGTTCTCCCGACCCCTCCAAGTATCAAGATGTCTGCCCACTGGGAAACTGTATTGTCCTACCTATCAATGGCACGGCATCGGACGTGGAGGGCATCTTTTCTGCGACTAAGTTGAGAAATACGGTTAACGAAAGAAGTATGGTGACGCCTGTAAGGAAGATTTCAGATTGCATCCTTAATATCTCTGTATTTTTGTTCTTCACTGACAATATAATACTTATGCTACAGGGTGTTTTCTTACAGCGCAGCTGAAATGTGCCACACACTGCAATTGTCAGAGCGTAGGAATTGCTCGTGCAGAAGATAACACTTCCGCTTTGTAGCAGGCTTGCCATTCTTGTGCAATTGAAGAATGCTTTCATGGCAGACACTGTTTTCAGTTGCTGCTGTGTATGTCAAAACAAAGGAAACAGTAAATTTCAAAATAAATTCCAGCTTAGTAGCGATGTATTTCGGTTATTTGGATCAAGATTTTTACCCCTGTAACACGCAGGATGGCTAAAATTTGAACTCGAGGCTGTCTCGCTGCGATATAAAAAAACACTCTGTGACACACGATCAGAGTATGTAGCCTTAAAATATAATGTCACTTAATAACTCACTTTCTGTTTTAAATTTGAAATGATTTCACCAACACGACTGAAAGGATCTTTGAAAAAAAAAAAGGAAATGAAAGTACGTTTAAGGTAATCTTAACGGTTTATTTCATACCCGGGTATTTTATATTCAAATTGCAATCAGTTTACAACCGCCATCGCGAGGAAGAGAAAGGCTGAGCGGAAAGTATAAGTTGAGACTGGGAACATCAGATTATGTAACGCATAAATGAGTCAGTATTTTATGTAAAATGTAAATATCCATCCATGATTTTTATGATAACGTATCTCGGAAGGATTGCAACAGGAAGTGCAGTCAGATGTAAAATAGTATTAAGATTAATATTTTTAGAACTCAGTTTTAAAATTGATCGACATGGAATTATTAATCTAGGTGCAACAGAAATAAAAAAAAAACATATTAACACGTTAACTAAATACAAATTAATAGAATTGACTTTTATGGGATTTTGTACATATAATACCTGCATAAAAGCGACAGTCCTGAAATGTAATTTAAATACTTTCCTAGAATATATGAAGGATTCTGAAGATAGCTTAATGCAATTCAAAACGTATTACAGCAATATGTTAATTATATAACAAAATTTTATTCGAACGTTGTAAACTGATTCCAGTTTGATCGTTAATGCAAGTTTTCTGACCGAACTGCACACAGCCTGTGCTAGTTAATGGCCAGCTGAACATGGCTCGAAGTGTACAGGTTAACCGAACAGCGTGAAGACAGATGAATCCCTTTTAATTAGACTCAGATTTTCATAATCTTACAGGAGAAATTCAAAGGAGATTGGAGCATAGACGCTATTTATTATTCAGGGGAACATTTCACATCCAGAGCACTCATTTCCGGGAGAAAGTAAGAGGAGTTGTAATGGAACAACCATAGAGAGCAGATAATTCATAAAAAGAAATAGAAGAAATGAAATGCACCACAAAGGAAAGAGAGATTGTTTTGCGTGGAACGAACTAATAATAGTTTGCTATTTCGATTTGATAACTCCAAAATGTGGCGATTGATCCCACAAGATGATGTCTGAAGTAAGTGGGAATGCAGTTATTTTGAACTTCTGCAGTATAACACATAACTGTAGTAAACTTTATAGACTGCATCCTGTTGTGTATATAACATTTGATTTTTATTTCAAGTATAACTGTCAACACAACACAACGAATGTTATGGAAATATTTTCAATAAATACAGTAGATGTTAATGTACATTATACTTATGTATTACAAATATAGCTATGCTACATGTTTCAACCAAAATTTGGTTATCATCAGGCCTTAAATGAACATATCTCAATTAATTATACCCAATGTGTTTAATTACTTGAAATATATTCATTTAAGGCCTGATGATGACCAAATTATGGTTGAAACATGTAGCATAGCTATATTTACGTGTATAATAAATAAGTACATATCTACTATCTCCATTGAAGATATTTCCATACCACTCGTTGTGTTGTGTTGACGGTTATAATTAAAATAAAAATGAAACTGTCGTAAAACTCGTGTTGAGAACATATATGCTATATTTAACAGTGTGTTGTGACATTAGTGGGCAAATTTTGGGAGCCCATATTAAGTGTGACTAGTGCCTTTCCCCTCTCAAAATTTCACGTATCATTTTGATATTACTGATTATAGGAAAATAAAGTATGGATCTGCAGTAGACTCCAATAACATAACGAAAAAAACTCCGTGGCATGTAGTCCGCAAGCGAACTATACTGACCGAGCGACCGCCACTTGTCGGCGAAGATAGTGCCAACTTTAGCGGATAGAGGGTGTCGCGTGGTCAACGCAACGGAACCCCACGGCCGTTAATCTCGGTTTTCTAGCCCGGACCAATAACATAATATCTATACCAAATTTAGTAAAAGTCTGTGCTGCTTGCTATTCTTTAGTTGAAACGCATGAAGAAAGGGACACTCTCAGCCATATATGGGTTCATTTCGTTTACGTCGTAAAAAGAAACCGTAATATGCATTACTCATCGGACTGAACGACTAGGGCGGCGACATGAACCTCTGAGTCCTTCCCCTCCCCACCATTCCCCAGGATAACCCCGATAAGACCGAGAACAAACGTTAGTGGCATCAAAGAAAATTGAGCTTATTCACATGTGCTGTATATTTGGAGCCCATTACAGTGACCGCGCGGTCGAAAGCATGATGTCTTTGCCAGTTCAAAGATTGGGTTCGAATCCCATTCGTGGCATGGATGTCTGTCTGCGTTCGTTCTGTTTTTGTGTTGTCCTGTGTAGGGCTAATTCCCCATCCAAGGAGTCCTATCGACTGTATATAGATTAAGAAACTGAAGTAAAACGGCGTTTCAAGGATGCCACGTGCTCCTAAGAAAGAAACATGCATTAAATATGATAAAACTAATTTATCTGGATTTGTATTTCAGGTCACAATTTCGAAGTGGGAAAATTAATTTTCTTTGAGCAATGTAATATTTTAGCGTCCGTTGCACTGATTTTCATCCATTATATGTATACAGTGGCCGTCTTGTAGTGCACTCAATTTCACCTGTCACTTCACAACATGTTTCGGCAACACAGTGCCATCATCAGGTGTCCCAATTACGTCAATCTATTGCATTGCTTGCCCTCATATGTTTTCACAACACCATTTAAAAAGTATTTAAAAAGTCCGTATTTGTCAACTATGATAAATTTACACTCGCTAAAACTTGTTAAGATAATTCATCTTATTTGTCTTAATTAAAACTTGCATGTGGTTCGTTCACTACGGGGTCGTTTTTCTTATTTTCTGTGTAAACCGCGTCTTGTGATGTGTGTTCCCTTCTTAGCTGCGAGTGTTGTATAATATTTGAGCAAATAAATTTCTTAACACAAAGAGTTCTTATATCTACTGGTGTCAATTGTAACATAAACTACAGTGTTGTAATAACTAGAGGTGGATTAATTTACATTTTTCATACAAAATTATATTCACATTTTACGAAATTAACAGAAAACGTATGTCTCGTTCATACGTTGCCACGGCCTGTTACTTTCGCTACTCGTGATATTCACGGGCCGCCACTGATAGGGAAGTATCAATG